TAATAATATTATAAATGTATAAATGTATCATATATATTTGTACATCAGTGTTCACATATCTTTTTTACAGTTATAAAAAAATGTATATGTAATATACAAAAAGAAAAAAGTAACAATTTGACTATCAATTTAAAATTATTTTATAAGTAACAATAAGATAGTATTTTAATACATGTTTATAATTGTATTATATTTATCGCATAATATATGTCGATTTTTTATATAATATTTAATATTATTATTGAGATGTAGTATTTTATATATAATATAGTATAATTCTAATTTATTTTAATTACATATAAAAAAGATTAAGCATACAAAGATAAAAAACCGATTAAAATAGAAAAAGACTAGAGAGAAAAAGCCCAATGCAATGATTGGCTGCAAAATAGAAACTTTCTTGAGTCTCTAGAAATTAGCTAATCAATGCGCTTAAAAAGTTTGTCGTACGACAAATGTAATATCTTATCGTAACAAGTTTTATCGTACAAACTGATTGGCTACAATTGGAAAAAGCTCGGAATCCTAAGAATTTTCTATTCGACAGCCAATCAGACGTTGAACAAACTTCATTGTGCGACACGAATGAATCCTTAAGCCCGTATCAGACTACGCATTGAAGATTGAGATTGAGAATTGAAGATTGAAATTTGACCAATCAGAACAAAGAAATTTTAGTCCCTTTTGTCCTGATTAGTCAAATTTAAATCTTTAATTTTCAATCTTCAATTTTCAATGCATAGTCTGATACGGGCAGAACGATCGATAAAAACAATATTTAAAAGTCATTTTAGAGACGTTCTGCTCGTTCTGCTTGCGCTCATTCTGCTCCATGGGAATGTAGGGACTTGAAATCCACGTAAAGCCCGAATCACACTAGCGGCTCGCGGATGCGATTGCGATTGCGTTTGTGATTTGCTACGCTCCAATCATACTTGCAATTGGTGCTTTCATATATATTATTATATATAATTTTTATATCTAATGTAATATTAAAGAAAACATTTTCTTACATTTCCTCTTGACGGAAGAAACCACCACCTTCTCGCGGTTTCCGTTGAGCAACAACATGTACGTTGTTCATTTATAAAATTGGCTTATATTAATATTTGATTGATTAATACGGTAGAATACTTTATATTATTGAAAAAATAATGCTTTTCTTCTTTTATTTTAATACATATATATGTTTATTATTATTAACAAAGTAAAAACTATACTATTAGAATAATTTATCCAAAGCAATATATAATTTAATTTTGTATTTTATGTTTTTCGTGCTAACAATAAGTTATCTTTTTAATCAACAACAGATCTTTTTCAATATTACTAATATGATTTTTTGGGAAAAAGGCGTACACGTTGGCCAAGAGTGGATTTTTATCATTTATATTCTTTCTATTCTTTATTTCTTTAATTAATTTACATCTTTTATATATATAGAATAAATTATAATGTAATTAAAAGATTTATTGTATTAGTAATTTTTATGTGTTTACGCGAGATCTAATAGACGAGCCAAGCCGCGCTAACATATGATTCTCGAGAATCTCGAGAAAGCGTCAGCTATAGCTGACTGAACGACTGAAAGAAAGAAAGAGATAGCAGATTGTATGTCTGCGCTCGTCTACTGCCCGAAGCTAGCCGAGCGCCGAGCGCACACGTACACGGCTTTTTCTTTGTGTGCGTTATCACACAAGACGGCAGAGTTTCAAACCTGGCATCCCTGCCTCGGAGCTCGTTCGACCACTTACGAAACTCGTACTGCTTCCCGGCGTCACCAAGACATCGCCGCCGACACAGAACGATTAAACCGCGGAAACCGCGCATTCCTGTACATACTTGTAAATAAGATTAGGAGATACATGTATACAAAAGTATATTCCTAAGAAGAGCGCCGCCTTCACACTCACGATTCATCAAGCTCGACGCGAAGCATCATTGTTGACACGCACTAACCGCACCTCAATTAATTCACCGTTTCTTTAACTTCACAAACTCACGCACATGCATGGCCCTCTGCCACCCACGATAATTAACTTTTCACTCGCAATAATTCATACATAAAAATCAACTCAAACTGCGTATCAAATAAATTCATGAATCGCAACACGGTCGTACGTAACCGTAAACAACACGCGATATACAATGAATGAATGAGCTATACCTCCCGCACTCCCGCTCGCCGCCCGCGTCAATAAATCTATAGAGTATAGAGTTCAGTGAGAATGACGCACGTGTCACGTATGTAATGAATTGAGAGGTTAGAACGGATTAGAACTGTGAAGTTAACTTTTACGTGTGAAATGGGACGTATTAAGACTGAACCGGCAAAGAAAACGCGCAAAATATTACGCAAAGAGAAGAGACAACGAAAGAAGATAAATAGAGCAGCGTTTTATCAAAAGAAAAATCAAAAACAAGGAAAGAATGATATTGAACAGAGGCTGTCAACAAAGGCGCAAAAACGACAGAAGGTAAGGTTATATAGGTTAAATAGGTTAAAGTAAGGTTATATAAAATACATCAATGCAGCCTATGTGTTGTCCCTCAAAACCCATAATGCATTGCGAAAGGCCGCAAGAGCCAATAACAGACTGCATTCCAATATTCACTGCCAATACTGAAAATCTATAGTGCACGTCACGTCCCATACAGCACAGAACGTTGTAACAACATTGCAGCAACATTGTAACATTGTAGCAACATTGCGGCAATGTTGCAAATGTTGCTGCAATGTTCTGTGCTGTATGGGGTAAACTTATAGCGTTTTCGAATGTAGCAGGTTTAATCGCTCTGAAAGCGATTAATGACGTCATTGCATAGTCTCTGCCAATAAAAGACTTGAATTCATAGTGATTCGGGGTAAACTTATAGCGTTTTCGAATGTAGCAGGTTTAATCGCTCTGAAAGCGATTAATAACGTCATTGCATAGTCTCTGCCAATAAAAGACTTGAATTCATAGTCAAATATAGTGATTAATTGATCGGGCTTGGATTAACCCGTTCATTCGAAAACGCTATTACTGGCAGTTGCTGGCAGTGAATATCTGAATGCAGTCACAGGATGCGGTTTGGAAGATGTTAGAGATGCCAAATACTGTAGATAATAATACGTCCAACTCTTGAAAAATCCTTTGTCTTGCAAGGCAACCACTGAAACAGCGCCATCTATTAATCTGAGGTGATAAACTCTTGCTTGATAGAGTGTTACTGGCTGGGTAACAATGTAAATGATAAATAAAAATACGTATATAATTGTGAGATATTTTCTTTAATTTAACATTTTTTGTCATAATTAACCTTTTCTTCTTACTATCATTAATTTTATTAACATAGGCTTTTAATAAAACGTTAAAATATTTATCTAAAAATATTTTATAACAATCGTTACATATACACATATTTTCCTTAATATTACAATTTGATATTAATTTTGCTTTAACATTTGATGTACTTTCGTTAACATTTCCAGATTCCACACGATGCAAACGATCAGCTTTCATTAATATAATCACGAACCACTTAACTACGAGACAAGCGTTCTCCTCTACTAAAAAAATACTAACAACTCAGGCCGCGTGGTAGCGCTAGTGCGCTGTATTGCCTGTTTTTAATCGAAGTTGGACGTATTATTATCTACAGTATTTGATGTACATTTATATCACGTTTCTGTACGAGACGAGCATGCCACTTAAATACGAGACAAGCGTTCTCCTCTACTAAAAAAATACTAACAACTCAGGCCACGTGGTAGCGCTAGTGCGCTGTATTGCCTGTTTTTAATGTTTTTACTGTTTTTGTCCTGATTGGTCAATCAAACGCTTCGAAGCATTTGTAACGTTTTCCCGTAGCCACAGTCTACCTTATTTAGCATCTCTTTTCAATAGCGACTGCGTACAATCGATTCTTTGCATAGCATTATAGGTACCGAGAGGTTAATGACTTAATCTTCTTTAACTTTCTATAACCTTAGCCTAAAAATATGAAGGAAGGAAACATGGAAATAAAAATGAAAAAACAAAGAATGGAACAATTAAAACGGGCCAATCTAGAAGAGGATAAAATGATTAAACAGTTAGAGAAACGATTGAAGTTAAACAAACGGAAGAGCAAATCCACTCCAAAATCTTTCACATCAGATGGCTTAGATTGTATCCTTTATAATTTTTAATATTTCATGCATGACTTCTCGTGCATTTAAGAGTATATTATATATATATTTCAATGTGTTTTAGCATAGCAAAATTTATTGAAATATTTAATAAACTTATATTTCTAATATATATATTTTATAGGCAAATATAGAATTTTTATTATATTGTATACATGTTTGTATATACACTCTGTATATACTATATATCTTTTAAATACATGTAATGTCTTAAATTTTGAAATTTGATTGTCTTAAATTACTATATTTTATTAAGTTTTTATATATTATTGTACATGTTCTCGAATAGATTATTGGAATATATTTTTATACATTGAGCACGTTTATAATATCACATTCAAAAATAATTTATATACCCTTAATATTTACTTATATATAGATCTTTTGGATTTCTGTGATTCTGAGAGTAGGAGTCACATGGTTGAAACTGAGAAACAATTATTAGAAACTGGATTGAGCACTGAATTTGAAGAGGATTTGAATATAGCTATTGGTGCTGAAGATAATATCGAGGATGAAGATGAAAAATTAGATAGAGAAAGTAACATAGATAATAATGAAGACTTTGAACAAGATATGGACAATGAAAGTCTTTTGACTAATGAAAATTCAGGTCAAGATGATAGTGAAGATATTTCTCTAGAAGAGACAAATAGTATAAATGTTGAAACTGAGAAATATTCAACAGCAAATGATGAGGATGAGACAGAGAATGAAAAGTCGAGACATGCATTAGAGCAATTAGATGATAGTGAAGGCTTGTGGGAAGATATTTATGGTAGGCAAAGAGATAAGAAAGGCAATATTGTATCAAAGAAATATGTACCACCTGCTGCACGTATTACAAACATAGATATCTCTGTTGGCAGTGAGAAAGCTCATAGATTGGAAAGGCAATTGAAAGGTATCCTAAATAGATTGGCAGAGCAAAATATGCATACTATTGGGAATCAGGTAATTGATTATGAATATGCATGCAACTATACTTGTGATTAAACATAGAGATAATCATAAATTATCAATTGTCAATTATATATTTTTACTAAAAGATATGCCATTTTCTTGTGGCTGATGAAAGATTTATTATTTGAATATTTTTAATGTAGGTAGAGGAAATGTATATGTTAAATAGTCGTAATAACATGAATGTAATGTTATCCAAATTAATGATGGAAAGTATAGTTGTACCAGTACTAACTCCAGATGGACTTATCTGTGAACATATGATGTTGATTACTATATTACATGCAAATATTGGTACAGAAGTTGGTGCACATTTTTTGTTGACTATTATAAGAAAGCTCCACCAGATGTTAGAAGAATCGCATTGTGTTGAGAATAAAGAATTAGATAATATGATCCTTATGATTTCACATCTATATAATTTCAAGGTAAAATATTGTTAACAACAATAATTTTTATATATAGTACTTACAATTTTATTCTTTCTAGGTATATGGTCATCAGCTTTTGTATCAAATATTAGAGAAATTGGTAGAAAAATTCACAGAGAAAGAGATTGAACTAATTTTACTGATTTTAAGAACAGTGGGTTTTCAATTAAGAAAAGATGATCCAATTGCATTGAAAGAACTAATATTAAATTTGCAACAAAAAGCAAACAATGCTACTCTGGAAAAGTGAGTTTTATATGTCTTGATATAATAAATATTTATTTATGAATTGCTTTCTTTAATTACTGCATAAATTTGTATTTCTTTCTGTATTTTTTTATTTTTATTATATTTCTTATGTGTATTGTTATCTTTATAGTTCAAGAGTCAAATTTATGTTAGACGTATTACTGGCACTAAAAAATAATAACATGAGCAAAATACCTCAGTACGATCCATCTCGGATAGAACATTTGAAGAAAATTTTAAAAAATTTTATCCATAAGGGTAATAGCGTTACACAATTTAATGTAACTCTAGAAGACTTATTAGAAGGTAAAGGGAAAAATAACATTATATAATATAGTGGAAAAATATATAGGTGCATCATTTTTTTAATAAATATAAAAATTATATCAAGTATCTTTATTCTTGTTTTTTCTTTTAGTTGATGAAAGAGGAAAATGGTGGATAATAGGATCAGCCTGGTCTGGCCTCAAAGATATTACTAAATTCGAAAAGTCCTCAGAAGACAAGAAACGAAAATACGGCGAGAAAATATTGGAGTTGGCACAAAAGCAAAGGATGAATACTGATATTAGAAGAGATATCTTTTGCGTGCTAATGACAGCTGAAGATTATTTAGACGCGTTTGAGAAGATTCATCATCTTGGTTTGAAAAATCAGCAGCAAAGGGAAGTAATTTATGTTATCCTCAATTGCTGCATTCAAGAGAAAAAATTTAATCCTTATTATGCAGTACTTGCACAAAGATTATGTGACTCTGACAGAAAATATCAGGTACATAAATATAATATATTTTATACATAAAGTTATCTTTTTTTTTATTTTAATATAATATAATGATTATAATTGTTCTATAATAGTTGATTATGCTTAATTGTTGCAGTTAACTATACAGTATGCATTGTGGGATAAATTGAAGATATTAGAAGATTTAAATACAAAACAGCTAACAAATCTAGCAAAGTTCTTGACCCACCTATTTTTAGGCAAAGGTCTCCCTCTTTCTGTTTTAAAAGTACGTGAATGTATTGTATATTCTATATACATATATGTCTGTATTGTATATCCTATATATATATATATTTATTTTTCTGCAATATCTCTCTTATGATGTTATTATTATTGTTTTATTATTATTTATTTATATATACTTTTGATAATTACAGGTGGTCCAATTTATTGAATTAGATAAACTAACCATGAGACTTATACGACAAATTATGTTAGGAATATTGTTACATGAAAATGAAGAGGCCTGTTTAGAAGTGTTTGGAAGAATATCCTTATCTCCAAAGTTGCAAACTTTTAGAGAAAGTCTTAGATTATTTATAAATCATTTCCTCGTAAAAAATACCAGTGCTAATGAAAACTTGCAGAAACAAAGTGAATTATTGAATAAACGGGCAGAATGGGTAGATAAAATATTAAGTACTCGAGAATCAAAACTTATATTTTAAAATTTTATAATAGATGTATATGTAAAATATATGTAAAATATATGTAAAATATATTAATTAATATTATAATAATATTTATATGTCGATTTTTTATATAATATTTAATATTATTATTGAGATGTAGTATTTTATATATAATATAGTATAATTCTAATTTATTTTAATTACATATAAAAAAGATTAAGCATACAAAGATAAAAAACCGATTAAAATAGAAAAAGACTAGAGAGAAAAAGCCCAATGCAAATACAAGAATAAACTATAAAAAATATAGAACTAATATGAATTAAAAAGAAATTTAAATGACAAAGACAAGAAGAAGTTTATGGTATTCTGAGACAACTGAAGGTAACTAGAAGGAACTGGTTAGAGATCCTCTAATAAGAGTCCCGAAATAATATCCTCGATTTTGATTGGTGCCACCATGTTTTGTCAAATTGATATAGATATAATAGATATAGTATGATTGTGTACGATCATTATGGTAGTTTCTGTAAGCAAAAGTGATAAACAAACATGTGTTTGACAAAACATGGCGTCTGGCGTCACCGACCTAACTTACAGGACGTTATTTCGGGACTCTTATTAGAGGCTCTCTAGAAATAATATTCTAAGACAACTGAAAATATATTAAACTATCGACCTTTACAACTAGCAAAGACATTCACCTAACAATAAATTAGAAATATTCTTTGTATAAAACACATATATATTTACAAAAAAACAGGATTATTAATTGCATATCTATTTAAAACAAATGATAATACATGTCATCATAGTTTTATATAAATGTATTTGCGTTTTATATGTGTCATATGGTTTTATATAGGCTTCCCGCGAGAGGTCTCTACTGTCTCTCCTGCCGACCCTTAATTATTATATGTCAGATCTTCTTGCAGTGCAATAAAAATTAACGATTCCAAACATTTGATAAAGATACATCTGTTATTGGATCTGTTATTGTATTTGTATATATTTTATATACAGGGTGCCTGATAATAATCGCCCCACCCGTAATGTGCAGATAGAACGGGTTAAACCGAGCAGGAAAGTTCTTTACCATTTTGCGATTTTTATAATAATTATTGAGAAATCGATTAAAAAAGATCGACCAATTCGCGCGAGTATAAGCGCGCAGCGAGAAGAGACAACTCAAAAATAGGCGCGCGAGGAAGTTTTGGGAAGAGCGCTTTACAAATAACGATTACGTACGAGCGGTACATAACGATAGATTCTCGCGTCCTAGCAACCACACATCAAGGCTGCGTTCGGAAACATCATCCGTGTGCACACGAGCGTCGTTCTATCTTTGTTATTTATTAAAAGTTGAACAAAGATAGAACGATACTCGTGCGCACACGGGTGATGTTTCCGAACGTAGTCCAATGGGTTGTCCCTTTTTACTGCGCGCTTATATTTTCATACGAATTGGTCGATCTTTTATAATTAATTTCTCAATAATTATTACGAAAATCGCAAAATGGTAAAGGACTTTTCTGTTCAGTTTATTGTGCACTATCCGCTCACGAGCGTTGGCACAATCTTTACCAGACACCCTGTATATGTATACATATAATTAATGGATAATTAATGGATTGTTGTTAAGTTCTAACATGAGACGCATATATTATTGGCCCCCGTTAGTTTGCATACACAATTTGTATTTATTTTCGTATTTTCTGTCTAGCGCGCCGGTACAACCGTTTCCGCCCAATCGATGAATACGCAGATAATCATCGCAATCGATCACTCCGTCTCCAGTGCAGTCCTGTTTAATAAATTCGTAAAAAATATTATATAACAGTAATGATATCAAGTATTATCTATATTTCGATACAAGAAATGTGATTTTACCTGATTGAATTTGACCATGTAGCCTTCTACTGTACGACCAGCACAATCAAGATCGTTGACACATCGGTTAAAAGCTAGAGGTGAAAAGAAGAAATAATTATTACATATTATTATTATAAAATTTCTGTTTGTGCTTTTATATCATTCAAGAAGAATATTTTTTATTTTTTTTAATTTTTTTTTTATTTTTTGTAATGTTTGAATTATATAACTTTGTATGCGAGAAGAGCAATATATTTCGTATTCTTTTTTCAAGTTCTAAGCAAATTAAACGTATATGTTTGATAAAGAAAACTACTTAATTAGATAATAAATATTTTTGCAGAGAAATATCGCATATTTGTTCATTCTTACATTTATCTAACTAATGTTATACGAATTCTCAGAAACCTGCATTTAATGCAGCATTATGATGTATTCTTAAATTATTGATTGACAAAAATCTTTAGAATTGATGCGTATAATTTTCATTTTAAGTTTTAGTCGGATTTCTCTTTTTAGCTACGCTTTCTATACATTC